CTGTTGCATGCCATAACATGAATGAGCCTTGAAAACAACATGCTGTATGAAATAATTTAGTCACAAAAGGGAAAAATCCATGGGATCTCATGTATATGAGACAGCTAACTATATAGAAACCAAAAATTACTAGTGGTAACCAGTGGTGGGAAGAAGTCATAAGGGAGAATTCTTGCTTCGAAGACCTTGAGTTTATATTAGCAATATGGAATGATTTGAAAAATTATGGTGAGGATTTTTGCAGAACTTGAAAAATATAACCAATGTTACTGAATTATACACTCATAAGTTGTTGACTGGGTGTGTATTTTGTTATGTATATTTTGGTTATACTGAGATAACACAGGGAAAACAAATATGACATGCATTATCCAGTATGATGCATGAACTAACAAATAAGAATATGATATGAATTTATAACATTTTTTGAATACTCAATGTCACTTACTATTAGAAGACTTGTCACTTGAATTAGCTCTGTGTATTCTTATAAAATGCTTAAGAGGTAGACATGGCCATTCTACCAATAGATGACTCAGGTATATAGAACCATACAACTTATCCAAAGCCTCACAACTACTAAGTAGTAGAGGCTCATTTGAGAATTTTGACTTTACTATCTATCTAAAGGGCTATAAATAGTCTCACATGAAGCCAAGCTGCCTGCTATTAAGTCAATGCTGACTCATAAAGATGCTGTAGGACAGGGTAAGACAGCCTGTGTGAGTTTTCGAGATTCATTTTTTGTTTCACTTTTCTGACATATATTATATTATATAATATATTTACATTTTAACAGTTTTATTGACATATATTTCACATATATTATAGTCAATAGATTACTTTTTAATTTGGAGTTAATACATATATAATATCATATTATATCATACCATCCCATAGTTCAATCACATCAAGTAGTATTGTACAATAATTGCTATAGTTTCTAAGCATTCTTTTCCTTCCTGGACTCCTTGACATTGGCTCCCTTTTATGGACCCCCTAACCATTCCCTGAAACTCTTATTCTACTTGCATTCCCTATATATTCATCAATCTTGGGTTTCATATAGTGAAAAACAGAAAAACATGTAACACAAATTCAAGAGGGTGATCCCAATGACATAACACACCTGAGATAAACCCCAATATGAACAAACAAAAAAAATATGGAAAATGTTGAAAACCAGATCAGGTCTAACATGCATCGGTGGGAGTGGAGTGTGTGTGTCAACTGACAGGGCATTAATAGCTGAAGTCTGGTTTATCATTTTGATCTTCGATAGCCCTCTCTCAGATGCACTCTGTTTGATAACCCATCTCTTCCCATCCCTGGATTACGGAGACCAACTCTTTATGCAAGCCGAAAGGCCAGT